GAGGCGCAGGAAAGGGGTGGTTGGGGGGGAGGGAGGTTGGATAGATACCGTTCCAAACATAGTGTATTACAGTGTATTCAACAGAGCTGGTATTGAAGTGGCCTGCTCTTCCCGGCAGGCTCTGGTTTGTAAGACAGTCTGTGTGGTCAGTTAGCAGAAGGATTTGTGGGAATGTTCTGATTATTTTTTTCTTCTCTATTTCTGCAGCTTCTTGGGAGTCTTAAATTCATTCAAAATAAAGTGTCTCTACACTTACATGTATCTAAGGATCCCTGGTGGGTTACCTTAGGTTGGCCAGATGACTGCAGGTGCAAACCCACCAGCTGCTCCATGGGGAAAAGATGAGGCTGTTTGCTCCCGCAGAGACAGCCAGCCTCGGAAACCCACAGGGGCACCTCTCCTCTTTCCCGTATAGGCTGCTACGAGTCGGCACGATGTCAGTGAGTTTACTTTGGATTTCTCTGTACTATATAGGCCCATGTGTGTAAAATAACAGTCAACAGACTGTCTGGTTCACTTTCTAAACGCTGATACCAAGCTGATATCAGTCCTAGCTGATACCAGGGGCTCAAGCAGAAAGAACATGTTTTGAAAAGGATGATGGCAACATATGTACAAGTGTGGTTGATACACTTGATGGGTGGATTGCTACAAGAGTCCCCAATAAAACGATTTATTAATTAAAAAAAAAACTTGTCCTAAAACATGGCTTGGGAAAATATCTCCGTTGGGCCAATTTGGGGACTGTTTCCCATGATATTCCGTGTCTTTTTCCAAGTCAATCAGGCCTGTTGGGGCTGAGCTGACGCAGATGCACAGCCCCCCTACACCACGGGGCAGAACTTTACCCCTGGGTGTCCAGAGCTGCCAACCTGACAGAAGCCGACTGGTGGATTCGAACTGCCCACCTTTGGATTAGCAGCCAAGCCAGCTGCAACCACTGCCTCGCTGGGCTGCTTCTCTTGTTCTCAATTCAGCCTCTAAGGGGTCTTTCTCCCTCAGAGATCCACTGAGCCCCGCATCGAACAATTTGCTGGTGGCCAGCTGTGCCCAGCAGCCCACCCCACCCTCCGCTTTGGTGTCCGGGCCCAGCCTTACGTTTCCGGATCTGGGGTCGGTCACTTCCTGGTAGAGGCTGATGTCCAGGTAGTAGCCGGACTCGTTGGTGATGAAGAGGCGGATGGGGAGGGCCAGGCCGGAGGTGGTCTGGCGGATGTTGATCTTGACCTCGGCCTGCAGCACGCGGAGCTTCCACAGACGGCTGCCGTAGCGCATGACCATGGAGCGCACCGCCTCCTCGATCTACCGCAGACCCCGCCCCCGGCCCGGCACCCTGCGTCAGCGCCCACTCTGCACCACGCACCACCACAAGTGGAATGCAAAGTGCCACGGCGCTGGCATGGATCCCCCCTACAGGCAGCCTGCTCCCCACTAGCTTCCTGCTCCCCACTAGCTGCTTGCTCCCCACTTGGCTGCCTACTTCCCACTTAGCTGCCTGCTCCCAACTAGGCTGTCTGCTCCCCACTTAGCTGTCTGCTACCCACCAGCTGCCTGCTCCCCACCAGCTGCCTGCTCCCCACTTAGCTGTCTGCTCCCCACCAGCTGCCTGTTCCCCACTTAGCTGTCTGCTCCCCACCAGCTGCCTGTTCCCCACTTAGCTGTCTGCTCCCCACTTAGCTGCCTGCTCCCCACTTAGCTGTCTGCTCCCCACTAGCTGCCTGCTCCCCACTTAGGACCCAGGCTCTCGCTCCAGCCCCTTAGGACCAGGGACAGGCTCCCATGGACAGATGAGGAGCGGGAGGCAGGTGAGGGGCAACGTGGGTGCTCCTGTGTCACCCCAGCCTGCTCCAGTCATCCTGCGACCTGAGCCCTGTATGCTTCTGTTTCTAGAGCCATGCAGATGGGCCGGAGGGGCAGGGGGGCTGGATCTCACATCATGACCACTCAGTGCCTCCCAGTACTCTGCTGA